GCTACTCATAAAAATGCGATCTCGATCGGAAACAATCGTGCGAGGGACTCTGTGCAACTTCATCACGTATTCCAAAAATAGTCGTGCAATCGACTTCTCCGTGTACGGGTGTGTTAGGGGGACGAAGTGTGCGTACTTCGTGAGTCGGTCCACCACGACCATAACTCCATTAAACCCATTGGACATGGGCAGTCCTTCAATGAAGTCCATGGTGATGTCTTCCCAAATCCGGTCGGGAACGGGCAGGGGCTGCAGCAATCCCCCAGGTCGGCGCGAGTCCACTTTTACCCGCTGGCACTCATCGCACCGTGCCACATACTCTCGTACTTCACCTTGTTGTCCGAGTCAGTATAAGGTGTTTGCTAGCCTCATCCACGTGCGGTATACGCCTGAATGCCCTTTAAACTTCGAGTCGTGGAGAAGTGCTTGATTATCGCTTCCTTCAAAGTCCCGGCACTTGACACGAACATGCGACCTCGGTATAGGAGAAACCCATCATGATCGTCGTACTCGGCAGCGGCTGCGTCTTTTGCTTCCATCTTGCCGCGTACGTCCCAGCAAAAGGCGTCGTCCTTTTGCGCGCATCTCAAATCATCCCATAGGGCCCAGGTTGGCCCAGATATCGCCTGCAGCTCGGCTACGTCCGTTCATCGCGATAAGACATCGGCAACAGCATTTTGTCGCCACAGACGATACACGATATCAAAGTCAAACCCCATAAGCTTCGAGACGAATTTCTGCTGCTCGGGCGTAACAATCTGCTGCTCCAATAGGTGCTTGAGGGGTTGTTGGTCGGTCACGATTCAGAAATGTCGCCCTAGTAGGTAAGGCCTCTAACATCGCACCACTTCGACTACCGTGAGCATCTCCTTGACATAGACCGACATCCCGAGCTTCATAGTCCGAAGGGCCTTTCTAAGGTACGCTAGTGGCCGCCCCTCTTGAACTAGGACAGCTCCAATCCTAATGTCACTCGCGTTGGTGTGGACCTCGAACAAGACGTCGAACTTCTGCATCGCAAGCACGGGTGTGGTGGTCATGGCACCCTTCAATTTCTCGAATGCGGTTTCACTAGCCTCGGTCCACTTAAACCCTCATTTCTTAGTCATCTCGGTCAAAGGTTTGGCGATGGTCCCGTAGTCCTTCACAAACTTCCGGTAGTACCCGGTCAACCCTAGGAACCCACGCAGTTGCGTTAGGCTCGTAGGCTTAGGCCAATCGACCATGGCCTCGATTTTCCTCGGGTCAACCTTTACGCCCTCGTGCGAGATAAAGTGGTCGAGGTACTCGACCTTTTCTTGTCCAAAGGAGCACTTCGAGGGTTTGATGTGGAACGAGTTTTGGGATAAAATCTCCAAGACCACGCGTAGGTGCTCGAATAGATTAAAATGTCGTCGAAGAATACTAGCACAAATTTGCGTAAGTACTCTTGAAAAATCGAGATCATAGCAAATTGGAAGGTGGAAGGTGCATTGCAAAGTCCAAAGGGCATCGCCAAATACTCGTAGTGCCCTTGGTGCATTCGAAAGGCCGTCTTCAGTATGTCCGACTCCGCCACTCAAATCTGATGGTACCCGGCTCTCAAGTCCAATTTAGAAAAATAGCGCGAGCCTCCCAATTCATCCAACATGTCGTCAATACTAGGTATGGGAAATCGGTCTTTGATAGTAGCGGTGTTCAGGGCTTGGTAATCCGTGCAAAAGCGCCACGTGCCGTCTTTCTTTTTCGCGAGCAACACCGGTGAAGAAAATGGGCTCGTGTTGTGTTGAATCAACCCTGACTCGAGCATCTCGTGCACCTGCTTCTTGATCTCAGTTTTTTGAAAGTGCGGATATCGGTACGGGTGGACATGTACGGCTCGACCCTCTTCGACCAACGGAATACGATGGTCATAAGGCCTCTTTGGAGGCAGCCCCTTGGGTTCGACGAGCACCTCGTCGAACTGCTCTAACAAGTGCCGTATCTCCTTTTCGTGCCGTAGCGAGCCTTCATACCCTTTCGTCTGCCCTTCGACGACCACAGAGAATATTTGGCTCCCACCTTTCCACAATTTTTCAATGCTCTTGAGCCTATTTCTTTGGTACCTTTATCACCGCCTGCCTTCAGAGTCGCACGTCATTTCCCTGCATCGAACTTCATGACTCCTTCCCGATAGTTAGTAGTCACATCCCCGAGTCCTTCTAGCCATTGGACCCCGAGAACATCATCAGGTCCAACGAAAGGTAGCGCATATAGGTCGGCCTTCACCGTCACCCCTTGTAATTAATCGGCACTCCCTTGTACGACTCGCAACAACGTAGGCATTCCCCATTGGCAACCCGTACCTCAAACGGTTCAACCTTGGTCACGGGTAACTTCAATTTCTGCGACAACGTAGTGCTAATGAAGTTATGCGATGACCCGTTGTCTACGAGCACCGTGACGTGCCGATTACAAACCCTTGCGGAGAGGCGCATGGTCCTTGGTCCTCTCGTACCGACTATGGCGTGGACCGAGATTTCTGCCTCATTGTCGTGCGCCTCGGGTTCGTCTTCCTCGGGTTTGTGTTCATCTGTTGCGGGCTCGTCGTCGTCGAAATCGACCACTTGGATCAAGTAGGTTTGTTTGCACCGATGTCCCGGAGTAAACTTCTCCTCGCATTTAAAACACAACCCCTTCTCTCGCCTCCTTCGCATCTCTTCGAAGGACAGGTTCCTCACCTCCGGGGGTCGCGGCCTGAAAGTGTTTGGAGGTCCGCTGCTCGGGCCGCGGTTGGTGCTAGGCGCGCTAGGTATCGCCCGCCGCTGCTCAGTGTAGCGGACGTCGCTACGCCCGGCCCTTCGCATCGCGGCCAGATGATCGTCCTGTCTCCGCGCAACTTCCATAGATTCACGCATCGTCGCTGGCCTTTCCAACCAAACTTCCGTGGCCAGGTCAAACTTCAGTCCTCCTACGAACGCCCCGACAAGCGCTCCCTCGAGCCATCCGCGCACGCGACAGGCGATACGCTCGAACTCCCGTTAGTAGTCTGGAAGGCTCCTGGTCTGCTTGATATGCGCGAGATCATAGTTGTGGTAATCTGACGTGCCAAACCTCGTTATGAGCTCTCTCTCGAAGTTTTCCCAGCTAATTTTCTCTTACCTGCTTTGGTAGGTACTTGAGAGCCACTGCCACCAGACATTAGCCTCGCTATCCAGATAGTAAGCCCTGTACCTTATCCATTCGGCTCGAGCGATCTCAATATTGCACAGCTCGGTGTAACCATGCGTCGGGGTCAGATCCATTGAAGGTAGACAGCACCATCCTCGGTTTCTCGACCCTAAGCCTCTCTACGTTGGTCGAGGCATGAGATCGACGGTCGAAGTCGTCCTCCCTTTCCTCATACTCAGGCCTCTCGCGCTCGTACTCCCGCGATCGAGCCCTTGCTCGACCCCGCGGCGGTGGTTGCCGCACGAGGCATAGCACCTCATCGATCTGCTGGTTCATTGCCTCCATCATGGTTTATTGGGAATTATGGAAGGATCGTTCGATATGCGTGAGGTTATTCGTCATGGACGTGTTGGTGGTTTCTAACCCCTCGCTAAGACTCGTCATCTTAGCCTCCAAATCTCCGAGCTTCTCCTTAGTTTCTTTGGCCATTTTTTTTAAGACTCGAAACTTAAATCAAAAGATGGAACAAAGAACACGCGATTGATACTCTCAATTAAAGCACCAATGATGAATAATCGCGTGTCCCGACTCGTGACTTGCCTCGGACTTGGCGTGAGCTTTGATCCTCGGACGTGGTGCAGACGACTCGAAGGTTAAACTCCTTATCTTCTCGCGATAGGTGAGACAGCTCGGACGTTTGTCCTTGCCAAACTCGTCTTGCTCGAACAATGCGATGCACGCCCTTTTCGAGACAAGGGTTTTACGCTAAAATTCAAGAGAAATCTAACGCAAGATTTGAACACGAAGTTCGGATATTTTATTAATAATTCGATGATACCCTAGCCGCCTTGGTATCTTCACCGCGCGCCTTGTCGCATTCCTCGAGGACTAGGGTCTCGGTCCTCGCGCGTGCAATCCCTCCACGCGGCATCATCGCGCGGTCCGACTCGACGTGGCCCTCGCGAACGTTGTCGCACCCGCCCGCGTGCTCGCACGTGTTGCGCTCGGTTGCGGTCTCCTCGCGCGCACTTCTCTCACCCGCGTTGTCTCGCGCGCCATCAGTGGCGCCTATCGCGTTGGCCTCCGCGGTTCGTTGAGCCAGCCGTTTGCGAGCGTGATAAACCCGACTCGCGACGTTCTTCAGGCGCCTAGCCATTTCCTCATCACCAGACCCCTCTGCTACCACGGCAGCGGGCGAATCCAGCGTCAGCCGACTCGCTGCACAGACGCTAATTCCCTACACAACTCTGCCATAGACGCCCCGAATAGGAACAACGCCGCGCCAAAAAAGGGGGGAAGGTAACTGAACAAGAGTCGCACTGACATCCCCGAGAAGAGTAGCTCCATCCGCGGCGGCCGAAGGTGCCCGACGAATGGGAGGCAGGCGCGACAAGAGGAAGGGTTTTATTTTTTTTTCAATTTGGGGATTTCACGATTTTTTTGCTAATTGTGGTCTATGGAAAAAATATAAAACAATTGTTAAACACATCCATTATCATATCGAACAGTTGGCATTTAAGATATGCCTTACCAACGGGAAGCACCCAACCCAAAGGGCCCCTCACACACTGTGGGACTAGCTTTTTTGCTCACTTTCATGGCTGAGATTGTACTTTATAAAACTCGAAATAGGACAATGGCATATAATTTTATGAAAACCATTTCCACCCAATGAAGTGCCGCCACGTACGTTGGATGGTTCAAGTATTGGAGCACAGCGTATAATTACCCATATCCCAATTTCGTAATTTAATAGCAAAAAGGATAAAGATAAGAAAATAGCACAACCACGTCATCGATCCTGAATTTACTGTTATGAAATGATATGGGCCGCTAGATCGGAACCCATTGGAGAATCCCTGGCCGTAAGATCCATCAAATAAACACCAAATCTAATTTTATTTATTTATTATTATTTTTTGGTAGCATTTCTTGATCCAGCTCTGATCTGCTAACCCTTTTATAGCCCTTTTACCTCTCCCTAAAATTCCCCATCCAATAATTAGGTGGTCTCATTAGCTACTCTCTCACTGAATTTCTTTTGAAATCATTAGCTTCAGCTTTGGTAATGGCGAGTGCAGAATTTGGCGCCCTGGCTCAGTCGTCGCCTCCGTCCACCCTGCCCCAGTATCCGGAGGTACCACCGCAACAACAGCTTCGNTCATTATTTTTTTTCCTAAGGAAATGATATTCAACTTTAAATTTCTTTTCCCTTAGATGATTATGGCAGCAATTAAAGGTCTGAGCGAGAAGATGGGGTCAAATAAATCGTCGATCTCGAAGCATATCGAGGCAACCTATGGCAACCTGCCGCCGGCGCACTCCACGCTGCTCACCCACCACCTCAACCGGATGAGATCCACCGGCCAGCTGCTCTTTGTCAAGAACAACTACCTCATACCCGACCCGAACGCGCCACCGCGCCGCGGCCGCGGCCGTCCCCCGAAGCCCAAAACCCCTCTGCCGCCCGGCAGCGTCCCCCACGCGCCGCGCCCGCGTGGTCGGCCACCGAAATCCGCGCTAGATCCGACATCTCCGCCGCAGCCTCCCAAACCCAAGGCGGCGGGTACGCTATCTGGGAAGAAACGTGGCCGGCCGCCGAAGGCTGCCGCCGGGGGTGGGGCTCCGGTGCGTCCTCCGGCCACCGAAGGTGTACCTCGCGGGCGTGGGAGACCGCCGAAAGTGAAGGCAGCTGCGACTGCGCCTGTGGGGGCTTGATTGAATGATGACAATTAGTATAGGGGCTTTAGTGCTAATTTATTGTTCTTCCTTTTAAAATTTATTTAGTTTAAGGTTATTTGTAGTTGGAGTTTAATTTAGGGTTGGTGGGTGGCAAGCGGATGATTGTTGTAACTTTGCTGTAAATTGAATGGCGACTTGTGAGGCTGAAATGATTATGTGATCCAAAAACTAGAGTTCCTTTTCATATTGTTTTGTTTCCTTACATATTTTTCATTTTTTTTTTTTTCAAACGACAAACAAATATATTACTAAAGAACTCAAAAAGAGTATATAGGCGTTATCAACTGACACCAAAGAACCAGATAACTGGACCTACCCTATTAGACTTCCGGAGGAATTCAAGAGGTACGACTTCAACAAGGAGGCAACCGCAACTCAAAACAAAATTCCACAAAGGTAAAGAAAACTCTATAAAGGAGATAAACCAAACAAGTTGGACTGACACACAAGAAGCATAAAGAAAAAAAAATATACAGCTAATGTACAAATAAACTAGAACCTCCCCTACACCTAACATACTCGATGCCTAACCACCCGGGACCACACACGATCCACATCCACTAGCAAAGATATCCAACAAAACCACAAACCGGAACCTCAAGCCCGAAAATTGCGGCTACTCGTGCCGCCTAGACAGATCTGAAAGAAGAGACTACTCTCGGTTCAGATCTGGACTCCGAAAAACCATCCACGCTTGGGGGAGGAGAGAAAGCCGCCGTGATGACACCAACACGCCTCGCCGGAGTACTCGAAAGAGGGATCGAATTGGACGGCAAGCCACACCAAAGGACCCAAAACATGAACAACAAGACTCTCGGCGGAACAATAGTCGGTACCTCCTCGAGGCTTGGGCCTAAATTCTTGCTTCCGGCGGTCTCCTCCATGGCCGAGGATGGCTAGGTGGCGAAGCAACTCAGACCCAGCGAGGGCGAGAGCTCTCCAACCCAACCTCCCACAAAGCCCAGAGGAGACGGAAATGTCCTCATCCCCGAATAGAGGAGCTCCAATTCCAGTGGCGTGGCGGTGAGCTTGAAGGTGTAGGAGGGACGGCGATGTGGAAGAAGAGGGTTTCTTCGGTGAGATTGGGTTTTTTCCTGAGGAGAGAGAAGAAAGCGTTTGGTCATCTTTGTTAAACAGTGATTTTTTTTTTTTTGGCCATTTTCAATTGTGAAACACAAATTTTAGCCATGTTTTGGCAAAAATATCTTTTTTAGCCATTTTGGCACTTAAAAAGACAACTATGCCTTTACTATCTATTTTTTTAAAGAAAATAAAAAATTGTTAATACCTCTCCAATAGTTCAATATCTCATCCGTGTTTTATTCTTATGAAAAAAAAAAAGATTTCTGTGGGCATGAATAATTTCTTGAACATTGAATGATTTCTAGACCAGAAATCGATTTCTGGTGCTAGAAATCGATTTATGCTATTTCTGTTTTCTGGTCCCAGAAATCGATTTTTGTATTTCTTGACTCATAAATCGATTTCTGGACCAGAAATCGATTTCTAGATATTTTGGTTTCTGGGTCCAGAAATCGAATCCTTAGCTTTCTGGGCCAAGAAATCGATTTCTGGTATTTCTGGACTCAGAAATCAATTTTTTAGAAATCGATTTCTGGGACCAGAAATAGATTTCTGGGATTTCTAGGACCAGAAATAGATTTCTGGACCCAGAAATAGATTTCTGGACCCAGAAATCGATTTCTGGAACCAGAAATCAGAAGATCCAGATATCGATTTTTGGGACCAGAAATCACATTTCTGGGAACAGAAATCTGTTTTTGACTGTTTTTGAATCGTATAAACCATTTTTGTGATTCCAAAAATCGTTTCTGTTCAAATTTTATTTGTTTAATTATAAACATTGATTACTTAATTCTCAAACAATTATTGGGGATTATTTGTCAGTAAAATAGTTTTGCATCTTTGTTTTACAGATGTGTGCATATCGGATTTTGGGATGAGAATGTTTATAAAAATGGACAGGCAGAGATGAACTTTATGCGTTTGGGGAGTGTGTCGTATGAAGACTTTTTAAATAGAGTTAATGACATTGTTGGTGGAGACAAACACACGTGTGAGTATCGATTTCACTTCTTGATAGCGAATGAAAATGGAGAGTTGGAAAAATTGAGAATTTCTTGTGAATCTGACTTGCACAATTTGGCCGAATTGTTCCAAGTACCCGCGAGAGGAGCAAGATCGAGACGGCTCTCAGCCGGTCGGAGTGTCACACATGTATTACCCAGCATAGCCAACTCAAAAGGAGTACTGACAGTTTTGATTTCTGAATCTCATCAAATCCAAAATTGAAAAAGAAAAAAAAAAAGTTTCATTTTTCATACATAAAACTTGATTTTGATATACATAAATAACAATAGTAGATAAAAGTGTGCTAACAGCAGGACTATATTTTGAATTGTCTATAACAACAGATTTTTCATGATAGAGTGTATACAACAAACTATCAGATTAAAATTCAAGACTTTTACGACCATCATGGGTTGTCACCAATTCTGAAATCTGTTTTGACCCACGGGACAAACACGATCTTCCCATCATCAATATCAACATGAGCCAACACCAAAGACTGCATCGAGATGTAAGACAATATAAGTGAATAATTAGCGGATAATATGATAACGACATGAGACATAAATCATCATAATATTTCGCCGTCTCAGGTGACATCACCGTCTCATAAGTGGAATCCTACTGCCTTTTTATCGGCCTTAGCCCTTGCGGACAGAATATATCATGTAACCTCCAGATACCATAATAATCGCAATAATTATAAAGAATAAAACATAGTATAGACTTCCCCACCTTTTGACTTACTGCACTTGCATGAAATGAATGCACGTGCGTCTGCGTGATGGCTTGACTCCTCTTAATCATTTTGATTATTAAGTCTTATTATTAGGGTTTTGATTAACAGACAACAAGTACGGAAAATAAAACAAATACGGGCACATAATGCAAACAAAGTTGGGCAGATAAAAGCACATAAATTAGTCAAATTCAACAAATAAAGCCACATAATTTCTATCTCTTTAGCTTGACTTTCTAGGCTCGGAAAAGTCTCATTTTTCTCTCTTTTCTCTCCAATTTAATCAACAAAACAGGGCTTAAAAAACTGAGCACATACTTTAGCAAATAGGCACAAAATAAGCATATAACTCAGCATATAATTTGCATGTACAAGCCACAGCAAACAAGACAAAACAATAGCACATACACAACACATAAACATGCTTTTTTTTTTCTCTTCTTTTTCTCAAAACCTTCAAGCACACCCTTAGGGCCTCCAAACTGAAATAAACCTCTAAAATTAATGCATAATGCACAATAACAGAAAACAAAGACCAAGCATCAACACAAGCATGCTTTAAAATTCCTTTTCTTTTTCTCATGCTCATCCACAAGTCATAAAGCCTTCAAACTGAAATGTAACTTATGAAATTATACAGTTTCAACAAGCAACAGTCACCAAAAAGATCAGCAATTAACTCCATAAAATGAAGCTAAACACATGGCTTAAAGCTCATCACACATGCATCAAATTTTCTATTTTTCTCATAAAATTTCTAAGGCAACTTAAAGGCTATTAAAACTGAGATTTATCCTCAAATAGATACACATAATAACAACATATACACGCATAAAAGCTCAACCAAATTGTGCAACAATAGGATTCAAATCAACACACATTCAAGCCTCAAATTAACCCTTTTTTTCCTTCTCTTTTTCGTTCAAAATCACAGGTACATTAAAGGTAATTAAGAACTGAACTTAAACTCTTTTAAAACCAAAAAAAACAGCAAATAAATCACATAAAATGCACAACAACATATAAGCCAAAACAAGGTTCAAACACAACTTAAGCATGCTTTTCGTTTCCCTTCTTTCTTAAACCTCAACCAACACATACCAAAAGCCTTATGAACTGAGCATACTTCTCTGAAAATTAATGCATGCATAGCAACTGCATGATAGCCATACCAACATGCCACAGAAAGATCTCACAGCAAAAAGGCAAAAAATACACATTATGCTTTGTTTCTCTCTTTTTTTTTTTCTTTCTCTCACGGTCAAACCACAAATGGAATGAGTATAAACTCTGAAACTAATATATATTAAGCACATAAACAACATGAAATTCGCAGCATAGTCTCAACAAAATCAGGTCACAAAATGAGGACAAACAAAATCACAACACAACATACATACATGCATACATATCTCTTCTTTTCCTCTTCTCTTTTCTCACGTCTCAAAAGCAGCATTTTTTTATGAGGTCATCACCTCTGAAACCATTGCTAAATGAGCATGCTAACCACATTTTATAAGCTCAAAGAAAGGGCAGAAATCCTACTGCCAAACAGCAACTCATATGCATACATGCATGCTTCAAAACCTCCTTCTTTATTCATGCTTCAAATAGCAATTCATTAGGCCATAAAAACTGAGTATACATCTCTAAAAAAACACTCACTTACAGCATATGATAATTTCAATAAAGCTCAGCAACAAGGTATATTCATAAAGCTCATAACAAATCACAAGCACAATTCCATTCTTCTTAATTTTCATCTAAGTCTAAGCATGCCCTTCTTAAGCTTTTAAAACTGAATCAAAAAATTTCTTCCGGCCATAAAATAAGGTAAGGTGGCTCAGCCTTTACCTCCTTTAAGATTTCAGAAAGAAAGGGCAAGGACTCGGGTCTAAGGCTCTGCCTCGGCTGGGTTGAAATGGTGCAAAGGCTTCGCTTTTGGGCGAGTTTGGACTCACTCAAAGCTGCTGCAGGTGGTCCAATTTTCCTTCTCTCGTCTCTCTCTTGCTTCGGGTCGCCGGAAGTGGTGGCTTCTCGAGTGAAGGCTGTCGGCGTGCGAGCTCTTGGCTGTACTGCGTGCGGCGACAAGGCTTGAAGATGGAGGTGCGTATCCTCTGCGGCTCGGCCTCGTTCTAGTCGAACGAGGTGAGTGGCCCAGAGAACTCGCTGTTACGACCGTTGTTCAGCAGGCTCTTGAGCTCCACACGGCGGCTGCCGTCGGAATCGGAGATCTGCCAAAGGCGGAGGAGACGAGCAAATCGGGGCGCTGGCACTCCTTGTCGGGCACGAAGATGAGCTTGGTGGGAGGCTAGGATCTCGCTGGTGGTGTCGTCGAGTTGCACGATCTCGACGCGGTTAGGGTGAGCTGCTCGGACAGTGTATTTTTTAAGATGAATTTTCTGACGGTGAGAATTTTTGAAGATAAGATGAAGATGAATTTTTCAGATCTGAAAATGAAAGTGAATTGAATGGGGCGAAATTGAATTGGGGGAATGAAAAATAGGGTAAAGGTAAAATTGAGTTGAGAGTATTTTAGTATTATCACATGCCTAAATAGCTAAAAAAGATGTTTTTTTAAAAACATGGCCAAAATTTTTGTTTTGTAAATTTATATGGCCATTTAATGGTATTAACACTTTGTTAAATTTTTATGATTTGGTGATCATAGTCGGATTTTGGAGAAATATAGATCAAATTCTTTTAAAACTTTTATTTGTAATTTTATGATTATTTGAAATCTTGGACCGCGAATTTTCATTATATGGTAGGTTTTATTTGAGAAAAAAAATAATTTATCATTTTTTTTATGATTTATTTGAACATTTATATATTTAATGTTGTATTGAGGCAGTAAATTCTAATATTAGCATATTAACGAGATCAATGAGAGTAAAAGATATTTTAAATATTATTTAATGTTGATGAATGAGACACTGATTTTTTTAATATAATAATAAGTGAAAAATTTTAGAGTAATGCTATAGGTACATAATAATATACATAGAGGTGTACATAACACTCACATTGAGTGGGTCTTACCAAAAATAAAAAAAAATTAAGTGGACCCCACTCCATGTGAGTATTATGTACACCTCTATGTACATTTATTATGTACATGTTGCATTTTTCAAAATTTTAATGTTGATAACAAGACTAATTGATGTTTATATGGTAAAGAAATTTATGTACATGACTAATTGATATTATGTACATGTAGCATTTTACAGTGGTTGTGTTTTATTTTTAGTTTTGTTTGGATGGTTTATTGCATTTTAAATGAAAAGTGCGTAGTTTAATTGATTTTTAAAAAAAAAAAAAATTGCGCCGGCCCTTGTTGCTTTTGCTTTGCAAAAAGATGCTCCAGTTGGGAGGGAAGTAAATTTTAGGTGTAAGAGAGTTCAGGTGCGTGAGCTAGAAAATATATAATAATAAAAGTAAGAGATAAAGTTTTGAAAAATGAATAAAAAAAGTTGATATAAGGCGTTTGGCGGTCGAATTTTGGTTTTAAAAGCTGTAGCACGCAAGAAAGGTGTCGTAGGACGAATTGATTTTTTCATTTAAACTGTTTGTGAGAAATATGTAAAGTACTCAATAAGTGTTTAAATACAAAAGTTCAAAATTGAAACAAAGAATAAATTAAATCATATTCGGGAAGTATCTCACCACCTTTCAAAACTTTTTTTATTAATAGATCAGTTTGCATTCACAATGTATAACTTTGACTTACAAGATAAGAACTCTCTCATAATCTTACTAACACTATAAACGACTCTATCAATTACTTCTCTTGCCACAACGTGAACTTCAAAATAGCTATTTGATCCCTCCTAGTTACAAAACCCTTAATCTCTAAGCAGTCAAAGTTTTTATGAAATTAAAAAACAAAAAGTGTTCTGTTGGGAGATCGACAAGGAGAAAGATTATCCGAAGGAATGACTAGAAAATGTTTGTTGTTACAATGATAGTTGCAGAATGAGCTTGTATGTTAGTATATGTTTTTTTTCGTGTTTAGCTTAGCTTGGCTTGGTCTGAAGAGGAGGTGTCGAGGAGTCACCTTTATACAAGAAATAAGTAAAATGTAATGATGATTGTGTGTCACTTCGATGGCTAAGCAGAGGACGCGTAGTGCCATGCAAGAGTTCATCTTTTGAGGACGGAAAGTGTTTTTTTTAAGGTTTGCAAGAAATGAATAGTTTGGACAGCGAGACAAGACCCTTTGGGCGGTGGTGTCACCATTTTAGCGGCTTTACTAGTTCAGTCTGTCAGAGCGTGTTCATACTCTGTAAAGCGATCGGTTGCAAGATCGACATTTTGCAGTATGTGGCGATCGGGTGATCGGAAAGTTCTTCCTCCCCTTTTTGTTGGGCCGATCATAATGAGGTTATTTGGGGCTTGCTTAGGAGTGATATGTTGCGGCGATAATGGGCCATGCTTCTGTAGTAATCTTATGGGCTTTATGAGGATGCTTTGTAGACATATACAAACAATGTACATTTGAATATGATATAGCTTATAAAGGATTGTATGTTGTGTGTGTTTTTATTGATTATATGTTTTTATATCGAGCGTACGCTTATAAAGGACTGTGTGGGTTTTAAACATGCCACCCATATGGGTGGCACCCTCATCCATTGGATAAGGGACAAGTGCCCCTCGTTTGGTTAAAATAAAAGATGATTTTTCATTTTTTTTTTACAAGTGAGGGGAACTTGTCCCTCATTCAATGGATAAGGGTGCCACCCATATGGGTGGCATGTACAAAACCGATTGTGTGTTGTGTGTATTTATAGTTACGTCATGATGATGTAAATTTGAATATGGAATAGTATATATTTTGTGCCAATAACTATTGTAACGATTGTGTGTTTGTTTAGAGGCTTTTTTTTTTCCAAAACGATAGATATTATAACTTGGGAAAGTGTACAAATCAATGGGAGCCAAGGAGCCCCATACAACCCACGCAAGCAGGAAAGAGAGCAGCACCAACAAGAATGCCTTAAACTAAAGAGGATGAAGGATCCTGCTACCGGCAGAGACAACAATAACTACTGGAGCTTGATTCTTAATCCCCAGCCAGAAACACAAAAGGGTATTGACCACTGATCCAAGATCCTAGTATAGTACCATGCAAAAGAGAAACCAGATCTAAACAACAGACAACAAAAGAAACTAACCAACTAAGACCAAAAGACCAACAAAACAGGAAAACAAAAGAAAATAACCGACTGCAGCTAGATAACCAAAAGACCAACAACCAACTACTGAAGCTAACTAACCACCAAGGCAGATTTGGACCAATCACTCCAAGCAGCAGTGACCACAGAATGCTCACATCTCTAGACATTTTGAACCACAATCTGGTTCCAAGATTTCTAGATTCCCCACAGCAAACAAGCAGTTAATTGCAACATGTCCTTGGAAATTGGAGATTTCTTGATGGTGCACAACTTTGACAACCAAAATTTGAATTTCTGGTTGTCTAGCTCTACAACATCCCAACAGAGAGGATAAAGCTTCCAGATAAGTTTTGATCTTGGGCATCTAAAAAAACTTGCTCTTGGGACTCATGTTCTTCCCCACAAATTTTGCAGATAGGGTTTGCATTGATTCGTTTTGAAGCCAGATTGCTCAGAATAGGATTAAAGTTCCCTACACATCTCCAAAAAATGTCTGATTTTTCCTTTAACTGTGACACTCCAACTCCTTTTTCTCATACTTTTTGCTTCTTCTTGCTCATTGCTCCTTTCAGCAATATCTAGTTTTCCCCACTTGTCATTAACCAGCTCTGAATAGACAAAATCCACTGAGAGGTTGCCATTACTATCATAGTCCCATATCATCTTTTCTTCTTTGGTTAGGTCAAGATCTTTGATAGTTAGTATAGCATCACTTTCAGTTTTTGAGAAGAGGCTCTCCCCAAGCTCTCTGTTCCAACTCCTTCTGAGTCATCTATGAGTTCTTCCACCAAGGTATAACTATTGTCTCTGAGTTACTTTTAAGCAAGCTTGAATCCTGGTAGATTTGGGATGCAAGGGTGATCTCAAATATTGATTGTATTACCTTTTCTGGTTATATACCTCAACCCAGAAAGAAAGGAGCATCTTAATGAATGCCAAGAATTCTACATCCAGGAGCTGTTGAGCTTCTTTAGACGGTGAAGAAGTTATCTTTTGGAAAATACCTTGCTCTCAGCAGTCTGCTTACCAAACGAATAGGTTTAGATAGAATTCTCCAAATTTGCATAGCTATAAGGGCTTGGTTCATCAAGTGAAGATCCTTGAATGCCAACCCTCTTTTGTCTTTGGGCAGAGTTAGAAGTTTCAAAGATCTCCAATTGATGGTCTTCTGGCTTGTGTCCCCTTTACTCCACCAGAACGAGGCAAACTGTTGAGCAATATTTTTATTTGTAGCCTTGGGGACCAAAAAGAAAGATATAGTGTATAAAGGGAGGGCTCCCAGGATGGAAAGCAACAGAACTTCTTTACCTACAAAAGATAGAAACTTTGTTTTCCAGTTTAAGATTTTTTATTTATTTATTTACTTTATTTTCCACAAAAGATAAGGTCTCAGCTTTTGGTTTTACAATTTCCAAGGGAAGTCCTAGGTATCTGGTTGAGGAGTTGGGTTTTACACCAAGAAGAGTATTGTAGATTCAGCTTTGGATTGTCTGGAGGTGTTTTTGCTAAAGTGGATGAAGGATTTGGCTAGGTTAACTCCCTGGCCTGTTATTTTCCTATAATTGTGAAGTATTTCAAGGAGAATTAAGGCTTGGGAGTTGTCAACCTTTGAAAAATGATAGTATCATCTACAAAAATCAGATGAGTGAGGATAGGCCCACATTTATAGATTCTCAACCTTTAATCAAATGAGAGAGGATTTCAAAGATGAAGATAAAAATATTAAGGGGACATGGGGTCCCCTTGTCTAATTCCTCTTAATGGGGTAAAATAATCACTCACTGAACTATTTAAATTAAGAGAGAACGAAGTTGGAACAATACAGACCATGATCCACTTAACAAAATCAGCATGAAAACCTAGCTTAAAGAGAATGAATCTAATGTTGTCCCACTTAACCATATCAAAAGCCTTGGTTATATCTAATTTAATGGGCATGTAGAGCTTTTGACAACTCCTATGCCTATTCAGAAAGTGCATGACCTCTTGAGTAATAATAATGTTATCAAGAATTTGATTTCCAGAGACAATTGTAGATTGGTTCTCACTAATGCACAGATGGAGACAACTTTTAAGTTTTTTAGCTAAAATTTTAGAGATTATTTTATAGATGACACCACAAAGACTTATTGGCCTAAAATGAGAAACTAATTCAGGGTTTTGGAGCTTAGGAATCAAAGTTATGAAGGTGTGATTTAGACTTTTAAGAACTTGACCAGACTCAAAAAAACTAAGCAAATGTCTAGACCAACAAAAGACCAGAAAAAAAACAAAAAAAATAAAACAAAACAAAGGTCATGCCATCTATACCTAGAGCTTTGCTTGCATTGATGTTGAATAGAGACTCCTTGATATCCTCTACCTCAATTTTGTACACTAATTCTCTTTTCAGTATCTTAGAGATTGTAGGATTGCTATCTTGCAGGAGAATAGAACAGTCACCAACCCCTTCAGAGCTAAAGCGCTTATAATACAAGTCTTCAATGTGAGCAGCTATTTCCTCTTGAGAAGTACAAAGGCTTTCATTCTCTCTTAATAATCTTGTAATTGATTTTTTTGCCATCTCTGGATGGTTTGTGCTTGGAAGTACTTTGTGTTTCTGTCTCCATGCTTGAGCCAATGGATTCTAGCCTTCTGTTCCCAATATTGTTCCTCCAACTTGTTTGCTTCATCAAGCTCCTACTTAACTGTGTCCCAGATTTCCCAATCAATTAGATTGCCTGATTCTCTCATGTTAGCTTGAATTTTGTTGAACTTGTTAATCTTCCAAGTATTATCATATTTGAAGTTCTTGCTCCATTTCAGAAGCTTGGATGTTGAACATAAGGGTACCAGTTTGAACAGAAGCCCAAGCTTGCTCTACAACCTTAGAGACTTCTTGTTTGTGGATCCATCTTTTGTCAAAGAAGAATCTTTTCCTTTTGGTAATCTGATTAGGATTAGAAGAAAGAGAATTCAACCCATGAATAGAGGAACTTCTGAAGATTTTGTGAACAGAAGCTTGAGGGTAGGAATTGAGCCAATCCAGAGACCAAAAAACCCTGCCCAACGTTTCTTCAACAAAACCTTCCCCACTTCTGTTGTTGCCCCAGGTGAAGGGATGACCAACCATTTCCAACTCTTGCATTTCCATCTTGCTGATGAACTCCTTAAACATGGAGAAGCAGAATTCTGACCTTGTTCTTCCACCTTTCTTTTCCCCAGAGTTGGTCAGATCATTCCAGCCTCCCCCAATGAACTAATGATTACCCCATTTTGATTTTTCAGACAACAAAAGTTCCATTGCCCTAATCTCACTCTACAATCTGTTCTAGCATAGATAAAGATTCATATTTGATGATCCCATAATTGAAGTTAAAAATATAAGGAATGCTTCACAATTTACAAAATAATCATTGAGGAATTCCAAATGAGCAGCAAACCTCTACTTTTACCAATAGCCTCACTTAAGCACTAATTACTGCCTACTTTTAAGTTTCTACGAACTGTATGGATACACGTATCTTTTTTCTTAGTTTCTGACAAAAAGGCTAAAATTGAGAGGTGGAGTCTCCAAGACTCCTTCAGCTGGGAGGCTATGGAGGGGACCCCAACCCTCTACAGTTCCAAAACAAGGTTTTCATTGTTGGAGGTGGGGCCATTTGGGGTTGGCCTACCTCACCACACCAGTTTGTAGCTTTTTTTTTAGAATGAGTAAACTCTTGGGGTTCCAATTGCCTTGGGCAAGAATACAAAAGTATTCTTTATGCTCATCTTTGTCCTCAATGGACACTGAGGGTCTTTTCTCTCTGGTTACCATTTCAGTGCCCTTGGAACTCTGAGTCTTTGAAAAATGGGGTTATTTATTTTTCCAGCCTTTACTCTTTGTTTTGATATAAGCATGATCAAGTATGAGGAGTGGTGCTGGCTGAGTAATAGCTTGAGCTTCTTTATCTTTGGAGATTTGTATGTATGTATCCATAGTTAGAATATCTAATTGGTTCTTACTGTTTACAGATTCTGATAGAGTTTTGTTTTGATCATAGGTGTTGGTATTTAGGCTTGGGGAGAGTTGAATTGGATTACAGGTGGAGGTAGAGAGAGAGAAAGAGATAGATAGAGAGAGAGAGAGAGAGTTATCAGATGAGAGTTGAGATATTGATTATCACTTGGTTGCTTATGGCTACTGTTTCTAGTGGTAGGGGTATCTGGATTGGCGTTGGAAGAGATGATGTTTTTAGAGAAATGGTTATCATTGGCCTTCATCCACTCACCATAGTTTCCTTCACTCAGGCTTTCTTGAGCAATGTTGGCTGCTCTCTTTTCACAATTTTTGTCCAAGTAGCTAAGGATTCCACAGTAATAGCACAGAATGGCAAACTTTTCATACTTAAATTCGACAATATTTATCTTGTTTCTAAGTTGCACACTGTTCATGTGTGATTTTACACCATATTTATATAGTATCTAGAGCTTATTCATTGCATTATTGGTGTATAAATTGCATTATTGTGCTTTTATTCTATATCTTGTTGGAAAGGTATTACACGTGCTTGTTTTGTAGATATTTCCACATATTTGTAGAGCTTTTGGCTATTGGAGGCGCATGGTGAGTACCTAAGACCCCCGGGATGATGAAAGATTGATGCACGGATGAAAAAAATGGAAGAAACGAGTGAAATGAGCAAAAATGAGAGTGCAGATTTGTGACACGGTCACCATGCCCGTGTTAGAGGCCCTGTCACATCAACAGACAGATTTCAAAGCCCAGAGACCTGACATGGGCTGCGACACGGACGGTGATACGGGCAGAGTGGCCGTGTCGCGCACGCAGGTTGTTTTCTATATCTTACCTATTTTGAAAAGGATAAGGTTTTTGGACATTATAAAAGGTATATGTACCCTATTTTGAAATGAGAGAACGTGGAACACAAGAGGAGGAGCCCTAGAACATACAAGTGAAGCAATTGGAGGCAAAAAGAAGATCCACTACGAAGGAATCAAGGAGATTGGGAGATCAACGAGATTTCTAGTTTTTCTTTCTTCTTTCTTTTGAACTTTTATTTATCATGTCGATTTTCAATATGTCTATGTATTTGAATTCGAACATGAGTGGCTAGTTTATTTGGTTCTACGACTTGGTAGTAGATTAATATGTTGGGATTTTGGATGAATTATTATAATTAATTATTTTTTTTTTGAACCCTATTCAAATATTTGTTCTTATTTCATGTTTAGCACCTGGCCAATGCTTTTGGATGTTTGACAATATTGTTCATAATTCGAGAGATGAGTTCAATATTAGGTCTTTAATATTTGACACAATTTAATTGCTTGAATCGAGAGATTAGTAGGTTGTTGTGAGGGTATTAGATCTTTTAATCTATTTGGAGTTGAATTGAGTGTGTTGAGTGGAGACGCTAATATATGTTATTTAATCTACGGTTTTATCGATCTCGAGAAGGACGATAAGATAAAATTTTGATCATCTTATAGGATAGATAAAGGAATATTTCATTGTGATTTTTCTGAAGGAACCAAACTATTAATTGAAACCACAGTCTTAGAATCTATCATTCTCATATATTTTCTTACGTGTTTTTCTAGCTAGTTCTTTATTTTTGATTTATTTCCTTTAATTTATTTTCTTAGTTTAGCTAATCCATCTCATATTCGATCGTCTAAATAAAGTTGACACTACATAATCTAGTAATTGATACATTAATTATTTGATCTCGTGGGATACGACCTTGCTTGCCACATACTACGAGCGAGGCCGTACACTTGCGTTCGAGCATTAAATATATAGGCGAACACACACTTGCACATCGAAGCAGGGGCTGGTTCAAATCAATAGTAGCCAGAAGCCTAAACATTTTCCTGCTAGAGCACCTCCCTGAGGGATTTGGATGTGCTTAACTTTTTTTTTAAGATTCTACCTAATTTGAGTCCCACTTCAGCAGAGTTCCAGTGGAGAGGAATTTTCCAAGCTTGAACCAAATATCAAGTTCAAAGAATTCTGGGTGTCCTGAGTAGAGGTCTTCCTTCCAATTTTTCAGCACTATGTATTGGTTCTCAAAGGTCTAATTATTCCATTTTGCAACTTTCTGTTATCAGCTAATTCAGAGAAAACAAACTGGAAGTAATTCGATTCGAACTCTTTAACTACCACATTTTCCTTAGTTTGCCAGATATGCGAAATAGTTCTTTTCAACCCGAGAAGGTGATCGCGCTTAAATCCCTATTATCTTCCCAAATAGACTCCTATTACGTTCATTCGAGCTAACCTTGTTCTATCGCAATACGTTTCGCTTCCTTTCCAAAGAGCTTGAACGCTCCAAGTTTTGATGAGAGTTCTTGCATGAAGACTAAATAGAGAATTAGGTTCGTAGAGGATAAATGTGACTTGCACAACACAACCAAACAGCAAAAAGCACAACGAAGAAAAGCTCTAAAAATGAAAACCCTAAACACAAAAACGAAGAGGCAAAGGAAGAGAAAAACCAACAAAGATCAATCCAACCTAAAGCTGAGACAATGCTGACTTTCGCGAAGAAAATCATCACCTGCAGAGGTGAGAATCGAACTCCCAAGAAGAGAAAATCGAGCCAATAAAATGACACGTTTTAGAAATTTTCATATGATAATAGTGTGTTCTAGAGAGGTTTCTCAAATGATAGTATATATCTTATGCCTATAAAACACCTTGTGTTAGAGAGCTTTTCATCTATAAATGTATAGGAATTTGATTTGTATATTTAGAAATTATATTCATGATATTCATGTACACAATAGCATAAAACCTAACAATCTATGTGTTTTTAGATATATTATTAAGCAACACAATGACACATCCACAATAGAAATAGCTAAACGCCTTATCAACAAAATAAAACCTTCACAAGTACAGAAAAACTATTTTCAACTACCCAAAACAAGTATATGTGATTTCAAGCTCAAAAAACAACCTTCCCGTGGGAGAATAGTAAGTCTGATCACACTCCCAACGTACAACCATTTCAAATATATCAAACTTAAAAAACAATTTAATAAGCCAAAAATTAGTAAATTACATTCTGTATATGTGTATTTTTACCACCATCATATAAGGCCGGTGCTCCCAAAAGGATTGGTCGTTTGTGGGTGAACAGAGGGTTCCACAGGGAAAGCTCCAAACCCAGCATCGCCAAAAGGGTTTTGTGGGCCCATCTGTGGTTGGGCCTGTGGATAAGAAACAGCTGGTTGAAAAGGCCCAAATGGGTTATTAGCCATCTGAACTGAAGAGTTGATAGGGGCAGCAGCACTGTTGGATACCGAAAATGGGTCGTTGACTTCAAACGGGTTAGGAGCTGCTGGTGCTGGTGCAGGTGCTCCGTACAATGGTTGCTGGGATGCTCTATACGCGCCATCTTCATATAAACTTTCAAGCGTAAGCAAGTCCAGTCCGCCAGCCTGGCATTCATTCATACACAATTGTTCAGTTGAAAATAATAACAAAGGAGAAAAAGGCTAATAATGAAATTGGCCCTGCAATATGATCTGACTACGAAAGAGGCCAAGTGTAAAAAGAATCAGGTAATTTAGAAACAAATTTCATAATTTTCTATCCGAATTACACCCGAAACCATTTTTGAACCTAACAGATAATAGCAAAAACTATTTTACATTGCACTTTTAATTTGGACAGTAGCACCGTACCAAGTTTACCTTAGACAAAGTATATATGTCAAAAAAAATATCTTATAATTTATTACACAATAGCAATGTATGACATGGAATTAATACAGAAAAATAAATTAGAAACAATGTGGTTCAGATTGGTTTTTCAATCTAAACCAAAATAATTCGAAAGTCAAAACAAGAAAGAGACCAAAACAGTACTCTTCAAACCCCAAAAAACCAAATCACTTAATACTGTTGATTGTTTGTTCACATAATTGTTTGTTTTTTTATTTGGACCATATTATGTTGGGAAAAATACGCTGAATTTTCCATGAAGTCGGATCTATAAAAGTGAAATAAAAATAAAAATTGGACACACCAAATTGATAACGGAGTTCGGCCAATAATGCCTACGTCTCCGGACTACTGCAGATATTTTATTGGGAAAAAGAAATACACTCGTGTTTACAAAACACTCTCAAACTCACTCACAACTCACAACTCAAATACACACAGAAGCTAAATTTTTATTAGCTCGCTCTCTCTTTCTCTTCTCTTATGTTTTTCTTTTGTGTTTGCTATTTTGTTGTGATGTATATGTTAATGAGAATACCTCTATTTATAGAGGGAGAGAGCAATGTGAACATCGCACTCAATTGTAGGCACCTGCCAAAGAAAGGATGCTACCGTCCATTTTTCCTTCTTTTGCTGTTGAAAGGCTGCTGCCTTTTTTTTCTTTGTTTTGTTGCTGTTCAAAAGGCTGCTGTCAAATAAATGGCCCCGCAGCCATTTTTGACTCAACAATCTCCCACTTGAGGACTGATTTCAATCTGTCCTCACACCTCAATTTCTGCAGTAGTCTTCTCAGGTTTGTTATTCTAACAGGCCAACTGAAATTGAGCACAACTTCAGTTTGTCAATGGTCACCACCTTCGTTAGCATATCTGCTGGGTTCTTGCTTCCTACAATCTTGTTCAAAGTCAACACTTCATCCTTGAGAATGGATCTGATGAAATGATATCGTATGTCAATGTGCTTAGTTCTGGAGTGAAACACTGAGTTCTTTGCCAGATGTATTGCACTCTGACTGTCACTGTGCAAGACACTCTCCTTTTGAGTGAAACCCAACTCTGCTAACAATCCTTGAAGCCATATCAATTCTTTACTGGCTTCTGTCACTGCTACATACTCAGCTTCTGTAGTGGATAGAGCAACAATCTTTTGTATCCGCGACATCCAACTAACAGCTGTAGCTCCGACAGTGAAAACATAGCCGGTGGTACTTCTTCGGTGATCAACTTCACCTCCAAAGTCTGCATCTACGTAGCCTTGTAACTTTAGATCTCCTTTTCTAAAGTACAGACATTTTTCTGTTGTGCCACGTAGATATCTCAAAATCCATTTGACTGCTTCCCAATGAGCTTTTCCTGGTTTTGACATAAACCTGCTCACAACTCCCACCGCATGGCCAATGTCTGGCCTCGTACAGACCATCGCGTACATCAAACTTCCAATGGCTGAAGCATAAGGAATCTTAGCCATGAACTCTTCTTCTTCTTTTGTTTGAGGAGACTGATCCTTGGATAGACGAAAATGGTTGGCCAAAGGTGTACTGACTGGCTTAGCCTTGTCCATGTTAAATCTCTGCAAAACACGGTTGATGTACTCTGCCTGAGATAACTGCAAAACTCCTTTTTGCTTATCTCTCGTGATTTGCATTCCAAGAATCTTCTTTGCTGGACCTAAGTCCTTCATGTCAAATTCTTTTGACAACTGCATCTTTAATTTTCTGATGTCTTTCATATCTGATCCTGCTACTAACATGTCATCGACATAAAGTAGCAAGATGATATAGCTGGACTCATACTTCTTAAAGAAGCAACAGTGATCGGCATTGCACTTCTGGAAACCTTCCTTGTGCATGAAGCTTTCGAACTTCCTATACCACTGTCTTGGAGCTTGTTTCAGGCCGTACAAGCTCTTCTTCAATTTGCACACCATATCCTTCTTTCCATCTGAAAATCCTTCAGGCTGGTGCATATAGATCTCCTCATCTAGGTCTCCGTGAAGAAATGCAGTCTTCACGTCTAATTGCTCTAGGTAGAGCTCTTCACTAGCCACAATACTTAACACAGTCCTGATAGTATTGAGCTTTACAACTGGAGCAAAGATTTCAGTATAGTCAACTCCTTCTTTCTGCTGAAATCCTTTGACAACCAGTCGGGCTTTGTATCTCCTGGAACCATCATGGTCTTCCTTCACCCGATACACCCATTTGTTGTGAAGTGCTTTCTTTCCCATAGGTAACTTGACTAGTTCCCATGTCTGATTTGAGATCAAGGACTTCATCTCATCTTTCATGGCAAGCTCCCACTTGCTAGCATCTGTGGTTTGACAAGCTTCCATATAACTTTCAGGCTCCCCTCCATCAGTCAGCAGCATGTAGTCCATGTATCTCCTGTTAGGCACATGGGGCCGAGAGGACCTTCTCAATACAGGAGCTGGAGTAAGAGGTTCTGATTGCACATCACTTTCTTCATTTGATTCCTCTGACTGAGGACTCCTCATTATAGGACTGTCTGGGATATCTTCCAGCTCAGCATAAACTGGCCCACTCACTTCTGAGTTGCTGGCACTTGTGTTATGCCGGTCCTTGTACATCACTCTTTCATTAAAGATGACATCTCTGCTGCGGATCATCCTTTTGTTTTCGTCATCCCATAAGCGGTAGCCAAACTCATCTTCACCATAACCAAGGAAAGTACATTTCTTTGATTTTGGATCAAGTTTGTTTCTACCTTGATCACTGATGTGCACATAAGCTACACACCCGAAAACTCTAAGATGTGAGAGTTTTACTTCTTTTCCGCTCCATACCTCTTCTGGTAACTTGTGATCCAGTGGTACCGATGGACTTCGGTTGATCAAGTAAGTTGCTGTGTTGACTGCTTCTGCCCAGAACTGCTTTGGTAGGCCTGACTGCACACGCAAGCTTCTGGCTCTTTCAGTCAACGTTCGATTCATACGCTCAGCTACACCATTGTGTTGAGGCGTACCAGGCACAGTTCTCTCCATTCTGATCCCGTGCTCGTAGCAAAACTTCTTGAATCTGGTGGTTACGTATTCACCACCATTGTCGGATCTGAGCTTCTTGATCTTCAAGCCTGTCTCATTTTCCACCATAGCTTTCCAAATCTTGAAAGCTTCAAATACTTCTGACTTGTGTTTCAGAAAGTAAACCCATACCTTTCTGGAGTGATCATCGATAAAAGTCACGAAGTATTGCTTCCCACCAACGGATGGGACAGTCGTTGGACCCCAAACATCAGAGTGGACGAGCTCAAGCTTCTCCTTCTTTGGGGTTCTTCTACTTGTCTGAAAGCTGACTCTCTTCTGCTTTCCAAGTATACAACCTTCACACATGTCAATTTCTATTGACTGGAGGCCTGGTAATTTTCCTTTTGAGTGAATGATCTTCATCCCTTTTTCACTCATATGCCCAAGTCTTTGGTGCCATAGATTGGGACTTTCATTTGCTGCAACTGCAATCAGATGACATGCTCCTGAGGTCTTGTAAAGAGTACCACTCTTTTTGCCTCGAGCAATTGTCATCGCACCCTTTGAAATCTTCCAATCATCACCATGGAAGATTGTCGTGTAGCCTTCACTGGCTAGCTGGCCCACGGAGATTAAATTCTTCGTCAGGTCGGGAATATGTCTAACATTTTTCAATTCCCATACAGACCCGCTCAGCTTGATTTTTATTGCACCTTTCCCTACAACCTCACATGATTGCTCATTACCAAGGTAAACTTTACCAAGGTTACCAGGAACATAATTTTCGAGTAGTTCCTTCTGTGAGGTAGCATGAAAGGATGCTCCAGAGTCTAACACCCAAGACTCTTCTCTGTTCTCCAAAGAACATACCAGCATATCTCCTCCTGAGGATGAGGCAACATTTGCTTCTTCTTTTGCCTCCTGACCCTTCGGTGCACTCTTGCACTGGTTTTTGTAGTGCCCGGTCTTCCCACAGTTCCAACACTCGATCGACTTCGAGTTTTGGGAACTACGATGATTTCTGGACTTGGATCTTCTTCCTTTTGATTTGTTGTGTCTGCTTTCTTTGGTTGAACTTCTACCTCTGGACTCTGTATGCAATACAGAAGAGGTCGATGGTTCACCCGACTCTCTCCGCCGGACCTCTTCACTGAGAACCAAATTTTGGACATCATCAAATCTCAACTTATTGTTTCCCGATGAGCTGCTCACAGCCGTGACCGTAGCATTCCAGCTTTCTGGCAGGGAAGACAAAAGTATTAAAGCCCGTACTTAATCATCGAACTCGATCTCAACTGAACTCAACTGGGTTGTGACGGTGTTGAGCTCATTGAGATGATGTGCCACCGAAGCACCTTCGGTCATCCGAAGGTTGAACAATCGCCTCATCAAATGAACTTTATTTGAGGCTGATGGTTTCTCGTACATGTTGGAAAGAGCCTTCATGAGGCCTGCTGTCGTCTTTTCTTTTGCAATGTTAAAAGCAACATTACGGGATAACGTCAGCCGGATGGCTCCAAGAGCTTGTCTGTCAAGGAGACTCCATTCATCCTCCTTCATGTCCTTTGGCTTCTTTCCTGTGAGTGGTTGATACATATTCTTTTGGTACAGATAATCCTCGATCTGCATTTTCCAAAAGCCAAAGTCCGCACCGTCGAACTTTTCGATTTTCATTTTTCTTTCGTCTGCAGCCATCACTTCGACTCTGATCTGACTTCTCTGTCAGATCGTTTCTGTAATTTTTGTGAACTACCGTGTTTTAAAACACGTCCGTAGATAAATTGTAGCGCCGACAAAATTGGTACTATTCACGTTTTTCAACGGAATAGTAACACCACACAAAAAATACAGAATTAACAATCTGGCTCTGATACCAGTTGTTGGGAAAAATACGCTGAATTTTCCATGAAGTCGGATCTATAAAAATGAAATAAAAATAAAAATTGGACACACCAAATTGATAACGGAGTTCGGCCAATAATGCCTACGTCTCCGGACTACTGCAGATATTTTATTGGGAAAAAGAAATACACTCGTGTTTACAAAACACTCTCAAACTCACTCACAACTCACAACTCAAATACACACAGAAGCTAAATTTTTATTAGCTCGCTGTCTCTTTCTCTTCTCTTATGTTTTTCTTTTGTGTTTGGTATTTTGTTGTGATGTATATGTTAATGAGAATACCTCTATTTATAGAGGGAAAGAGCAATGTGAACATCGCACTCAATTGTAGGCACCTGCCAAAGAAAGGATGCTACCGTCCATTTTTCCTTCTTTTGCTGTTGAAAGGCTGCTGCCTTTTTTTTCTTTGTTTTGTTGCTGTTCAAAAGGCTGCTGTCAAATAAATGGCCCCGCAGCCATTTTTGACTCAACATATTATGCACACACAANAAACTAGGAATAATTAGCATAAGGACCAACATACCAATTGCCTCTCGGGTACTGAAGATGACGAGTTGCTGCTAGGAGTGGTAACCAAGGCAAGTTCCCATCCAGTTGGGTCAAAATCTTTTGCTTGGGGGGCATTTGAGTCAACTTGTGAAATATCTGAAGCATGGTTCAGATAATTTAGTAAATTCCATTTATTTAAAGAACCAAAAAGAGAACACAATAGGAGTCACTGAACAGTCCTGACCAGGTGTCACTATAGCTAACGCCAATGCATTGCTTTCCTCAACGACAGATGCATCTACAGTAGTAGCATTCAACCCCTGGAATAAAATTATATGCACGAAATCAATGAAAAATATCGATCATAAAGGCCTACAAGCAGGATTTATGTACAAAAACATGTACACACAAGCTGACTAGTTAGATAAGCAGGTACTTTTTGTACATTACATTTACTCCTCCAAAATTATATTATAAAAGTCCTTTTTAGTTTAGCATTTACTTCATAAACACCCTATATAACTTGAGAAATAAGACCAAATAAAAGCGGCGGAAAATTTGAAATATGGGCAGGTAATTTATATACTGAACCCCAAAGTTAGTTTTTTGCAATTTAAGGGTGTGATTGGATGTAAATTAAAACTCAAATTTAACTCAACTTTAACCAACCCCATTATCCTCAATTTTATCCATATAATTAAATAATATTATTCAATCATCATTACACATCACATCAACTTTGTTTCACTATTCATCTACTCATATAATTTTAACTAACCATCACTTCACATCATATCTCTCCTACTTTTACATCAAATCAACTTTATTTATTTTATTTTAAATATTACTTTAATATAAACTTAAACTCCCACTAACAACTAACCATACCATATTTTTCAAAATTAACTATGGTTGACAAAAAAAACCAGCAAAAAACCAATCAAATTCATATCCAATCACACCCTAAGTATCCAAATTATTAAGCAACACTGACCAATAGATCATCTGCATCGACATTGGTATTGAAAGGTGGGGGAGAAGCTGACTCAGCAGCTGAGGTGGCAGAAGTCAGTGGTGGCAGCTGTTCTTCCTCTGATACCATGGCATCTTCTTCAGCAGGTGACGCATCCTCTTGTCTATATGTCAGCATTAGCCTTTCGGGATATTCCTGACAAAATAATATTCCTGATAAGTATAACAGAGGCCATATCACGGACATTGTTTGAAAACTATGCTAGAAAACAGTCTTTTTGAAAATACTGACCAAGGCCACACTTGGAGCAAGAACCATCCTTGGTGCTTCTTTTATGTACTCTTCCATGGTCACTAGAAAGGATTGCGGAGGCTGAGAAGCAGGAAAACGTTATAAAATCTGGGAATATTTAATCAGGCTTAGACACAAATATCAGAAAAAAAAAAAAAAAAAAAAAAAAAAAANACCCTTTTTGCATGCTTACCTCCCTCAAGACAGGGAACTGGAAATTCCTAGCAAGTTCGAGTCCTTTACAAACTTCGTAGAAATCAGAAAGGCTAGCTGCCTGAATTGAAGAGCATATCCATTACAGGAACCAGAAGAAAGCCAGTCAAAATCCATCGAAATTCTATTTAGCAAAAACTTCAGAAATACTATAAGAATCTAAATGGAAATATAAATCATACCAGAACCTACCTGCTGCCCTGCTCTTTTATAGATGTCTAGGGCCTTAATGGCTTCGTGTCTTGGCATCTCAAAAAACTGAAAGCAACATTGGAGAAGGTCAAGGAGGGTCTTTCAGTTGACTAGAAAATAAGAAGCCCATAAATTAATTATAAATTAGACACAGAAAGTCATATCACCTTGTCAATAAGATTGATTATCCCATCATTTATGGCGCAATATATTTTAAAGCTCTCTTTGAGCACCTAAGATCCAGAAAAGTTACAGAAAGAGTAAGTTACGGTCACAAACATTCTAAAACAGACTAAAGAGAAGGAAAAAAATACAAGAAGGATTTCTATCAACACTTCCTTTTTTTTTTTTACTCAATTGCAAATGAAAGAAAAAGGCCTCCCCTTTCCAGTTCCCAACCTAGCCCATTCGCATCCTTTACCAGGAAACTCTATTTCGCATCAATTCATCATTTTTTATTTTCTCACAAACTTATGGATTTCAGCTAAAACTGTGCTATTATACACATCTGGTGATAGAAATAGAAGTTTAAGACCACATACCAAGGCAAGCGCATATTGAATTATGTAATTGCCCACAGCTGCCCCTTCAGGCTGAAATCAGTAACAGCCAGTTGAAGTTACCATTCAAGGTTCATTAAAAAATCACAAATCACGAATAGTGAAGGGAAATAACAAACAGCAGGTTATGACAAAAAAAGTATAGTAATTGAGAAGAGCTACCCGGCATCCAATAAGACGATACAGAAGCTGCTGCAAAGCAGGCAACTGTTCTAAAAGTTCTTCACTGTCCAAGTCTCTTGTTCTACTATAACCCTGCGAACAAAAAATTTAGACATGAGATTCTCGTAATTTACAAAGTCTAAACAATAAAACTAACTCTGGGTAAAAACATTTAAACCACGACGTCAAAATGAATTATGCATGAAAATGATAATACTAAGTTAACTTCCCCACTTAAAGTCTGACTATCAAATAACCAGAACATCACTATATGCAATTTACTTTCACATGATTCTGGTAGAAAGTTATTTCTAGAAAAACATGTTAACCAATTCAGCGTCGTATAATATATTTCTGTATACACAATAGGTAAAAGAAAACGACAGATACTTCACTGTGAGGAAATATTATGTGAATACTATCTTTGAAATTAATAGCATACCTTATCTTGTCCCTGTGCAGGTCTAGGAAGACGCTCTGCTTCAATGTCATACTTGAGAATCCTAAAGCATTCTAACCGTTCTTCTAGAAAGAGCCCATACGTTCTTACCCATGCAGAGCAATCCCAAGCTGACGAGGACAAGAAATAAGGATAAATTTTCAGCTCTAAATGGACAACCATTTTCTCACTTTCCATTATTAAATTAATGCGTACTGACCAATGGGGCTCGAATCATCCTTGAAATTAGACATCTGAAGCACACGACCCCTCTGTTGGAAATTCAAGAGTTCCTCCTTAAACACGGGATCACCTTCTCTCAAAGTCCTATGAATCACTATTAAAGTCTTCAAGGCAACCTGTTTAAGAAAGGAAGGAGAAGGACAACCTAAATAGTTATTATCACACGTGAGTGTTTGAACTCCCATCCCCCTCATTAGGAAAAAGGACTGAAACATTACAGAGTAACATGAGATTTGAATTGAATCTTCAGGAAGATTAAGCTGAAAGACAAAGAGAAAGAGAACTGGCTGATACATAAAAAGCATCAGAGGCACGTCAAGATTCATACCGTCCAGTTATGAGTTTTTGCCAGTCGTCTCGAAAGTGCATGTATACAGTATGCAACATCAGCCCGAGGCCGCATAGATGATGTGGCAATCATAATTTCTGCAAAAAGCATCCACATAATAGTAACAGTGTTGCCAGTGCACATCCTTTGAACAATTTCTCAAGCTGAAAGAGAATAATTTCAGTGTAGGGACTAGTGCAAACAAGAGCTTGTATCTGATGGATAGATTTCTACCAAATCTCTCATACCCCAAGAAGAAAAACACGTCCTTACACAATAATTTTCTTATACCGAAAGAGATCAACATTAATGCAAACAAGCATTCGTGTCTGATGGTGAGATTTCCACCAAGTCTCCAACACCCCAAAAAGAAGAGCTGGTGTGTTTCCCATATGGAATATGAAAGATGGAAATTTTTTAGTTCTCCGTAACAAGATCACTCTCGCAAAAAAGATTCTCGTAAAATATAAGACTCTCCACACCCATCCCAAAGAAAAACCAACATTATGAATCAATAAACCACTGTGTAGAAAAATCATCATATGATATGTACTCCAAAAAATCATAGGACCAATTATTCCTCACGAACTGCATGAAACTGAAAACACCATAGAAACTAACAGATCTAACAAAACGAAAGAACTCGCAGAAAAGGGAAAACAAACAACTCACTTCTGAGGTGTCTCTCTTTGGGTGGATGCTCCACATGATTTGTAGCCTTCACGATTGCCACATCCATATCCTATTTTTAGAAACCACAAAAACAAACATTTCTAATGAAGAAGAAGAAGAAGAAAAAAAATCAAAACCCCACGTAATAGATATAATAATCTTCACACCCTGATTCTTGATTGCCACTGTACGCTTAATCATCGAACACAAACCTCAAAAACAAATAAAAAATTGTCAATTGAAAGATGGATTCGTGGATTAAACCTTGAAATCGGAGTTGACATGGGCAAGCCCAACTTTAGTGTGGTCTTTGAGAGCGCCGTATGCTTTTCGCCATGTTTGAAGCGTTCCCATGTTGCCTTCAGATCGCCTCTTTTTGTTCCCTTCTTCTTCTTCTTCTGGTACTTTTTTACCGCAGATACGAATTTCGTGGTTTAGTGTCTTCTTCCTCTCCTCTTTTTCGTGATGTGGTGTATTCTTCCTCTCTTATGGCCTAATGGGTTTTGTGGAATGACAGAGATAGAAAAGAATACATCTGTTGTGGGTAATAATACTGATTCGCTGCGTCTTCTGGTTAATAATACTGATTCGCTGTGCTATGTGTCTCGTCTTCCTTCTTTT